TTATAAATTTAATAAAGGAACATACACACTGCTCAAAGAAAGACATGATCTTGCTGTAATCATCATACTATAATCACGTGAGTGGTCATCAAAATGTCGCCTCTCCACTTTGATGACTTCAGGACACGTTCACAAATTGTTAATTGACACGTGCCCTGTGTGCATATATTCGTGCACATGGATATGCAAACCCTCATACACGCATGCCAATGCTCACACCTTACCTGAGATGACTAGGAATAGCTCTTTGTTTTTCTTTATTTTTTTTTTCTCCCCGCCCAAGACAGTCCCCTAGCCTCCCCTATCCCCCAGTGTCTTATGTCCATTGGTTATGCTTATATGCATGCATACAAGTCCTTTGGTTGATCTCTTACCCCCCTACCTCCTCCATTCATCTGCTGATGGGCACTTAGGCTGTTTCCAGATCTTAGCTATGGTGAATTGTGATGCTATGAACATAGGGGTGCATATATCCTTTCTGATTGGTGTTTCTGGTTTCTTGGGTGTTTTTCTTTATTGAAGATGCTGCTATAAAAGCTATTTTCCTGGTTGAGACTTCTACCAAGGATTTCATTCTGCTACAACCAGGGAGGCTGCGTGCAGTTTTCTGGGTGTCCCGCCTATCACCACTCATCAGGTAGCTGATCCAAGGAAGATAGTGCCGAATGGCCTGCCGAGGGTAAACGCCTGGGCTGACCATGGTTCAGCCGCTGGTCCGTGAATACATATCTAGAGCCCAGGATACTTGGAAGACTCAACCTTTTCTGAATCTTTGTCAATTAGAGCTGTAGACCTCCATGTCTTTGGACATGCACTGATTTCACCTGGTGAGCTGCAAGAATGCATAAAACACGCAGCACCTGACTCTTCAGTCAGGGGCACAGGCCTCTTTGCCCTTAGACTGTCAAATTAAATGACAATGGTTAACACAATAGCAGGTCAGTGTGAATATCCTGTCTTGAACCATAAACATATAGGTCATATAATAGAGTTTCATCTTATTGGTCCTGTCGCATAATAAGGTTGCATCTGATTGATTGGTTAATTCTTGATACCAGAAATCATTATATACAAGTATAGGTATCTGATTTTTTTAAAAGTCACTTTGGAACAAAAAGGGTAGGTGAGTGCTGTTATTATTATTTGTAAATCAGTCAAAATTTTTGGTCAGATCAGCAAAAAATATAACATTTTTGGTTTGCCACAGAATTTTAGTAATGAGTTTATGTGTGCCATGCAGTGAAAAAGATTGAAAACCACTGCTCTAATGTGATATTTACAATCAATTTAAGGCCATTTTAATGTATAAATCATTAAATCAAAGGAGTATGCATGTATTTGTGTAATATTATATTAAACAAAGGGCTCTTTTTATGTTCGCAATCTCCAATTCCAGCTGCCAATTCCTCAAAACAATCACTTCCCAAATCCTGCTGATCAGGCAAAGCTGCTTTTATTGAATTTATTGCAGGAAGGGAGAGCACCACCCTAAGACTCAGGCTGTCTCGGGGGCAAGTCTGAGGGAGAGGTGACAGCTTTCAGGGATGTGGATGGGTGATTCTGAGGCAGTCTTTCAGGGGGAGAACTGGTTGCGGTTGGGCACGGTGTATGACTTGGTTTGGTGTACACAGAGAGGGAAGGTGGAGAATAAAGCATTGAGGACATAAGATGTCAGCGTGGATAATAAACTATTTTAATAGTTGGTTTACAGTCTTATCTTTCAAGGAATTATTTCCTGGAGCAAATAGCTAATATTTTTCCCTGATCCCAATATTAATCGGCACAGAAATGGGAAAGTTTGTCCTCAAAATGTTAGCACAAGACAAGAAAGTTGTTGGTTTGAGTACTAGCAACTGACTCCTTAGGCCATGGACCGTGTGGGGTGTCCGGGGCCTCCGCAGGCATCTGAGCTCAGAGAGCGACAGGACTACTGGTGTTCCGCATCCTGCCGGTCTGCGCACATGGGCATCTGCCAGGAGTGAGTGGGCGCTGGGCCAGCAGGGGAGTCAGTCTCGGCAGCTTCTCCTCTCCCTTCCCACCCGTGCTCTTGCTTTGCTGCACTGTGGGCTGCTCCCATGCCTTTGCAAACACCTGAAGTAGCACAGCACAGTGGGGACTTGGTGCTTAGACTAGGAAAAGAAAAAATACTCCAAGACTGGAAAATATAAATTGAGATGATCTTTCGCCTAAATCACTAGGGGTATTAGCAGATGTTGCACGTCCACTTTTAGTTTCATAGAGCATTAGATTGATTCTCTAAGAGAATCGATTCTCTGTAGACCAGAGGTCTGGAGACATGGTTCTCAGAGCTTCTCTCGTAGAGCCACTGGTGAATTTCACTTAAGTCATTGCTACTCAAATGCATTTGACTAACACAGCCATGGGCAAACTACGGCCCGTGGGCCGGATCCGGCCCATTCGGCTGTTCTATCCGGCCCGCGGAGCCGAAAGAGCAGAGGGTTCTCTTGCTCTCCCCTCCGCTCCTTCACCAGCAGCAGTGTTACCATGGCAACGGCGGGAAACACGGCCGCAGCTCCTTCTTCTGAGTCCAGTTTAAGAACCCATTGAGGCCCTCGAGTCAAAAAGTTTGCCCACCCCTGGAAATACTTTTTCTTAATTAAATTTATTGGGGTGACATTGGTTAATAAATCATACAGGTTTCAAACGCACACTTCTATGACTCATCATGTGTATATTGCACTGTGTGCCCCTCACCCAAAGTGAAATCATCTTCTGTCACCACATATATGACCCCCTACACCCTTCCCGGCCCCCTTTCCTCAGGGAACCACCATGCTGTTGTCTGTGCCTGTGAGTTTGTTTGTTGTTTGTTGTTCTTGTTTATTCATTTGTGGCTTTCAGTTTTATATCCGACACAAAGTGAAATCACATGGTTCTTAACTTTTTCTGTCTGACTTATTTCGCTTAGCATGACATTCTCAAGCTCCATCCCTGTTATCCCAAATGGCAGTTTTTGGTCTCTGCTTCCAGATAGTTAGAATTCTTTACCCAATTTTTGTTTCCATGTCTGTGCCACCATGAATAATGCTGCAATGAACATACGGGTGCATATATATATATATATTTGCGAATAAATGTTTTCAGATTTTTCAGGTGTATATACCCAGAAGAGGGTTGTTGGGTCATAAAGTAACTCTATTATTAACTTTTGAGGAACCTCCATACTGTTTCCATAGTGGCTGCACTGGTTTACATCCCACAGCAGTGAACGAGGGTTCCTTTTTCTCCACAACCTTTCCAACACTTGCTATTACTTATCTTGTTGATAGCAGCCATTCTAACAGGTGTGAAGTGGTATCTCATTGTAGTTTTGATCTGCATTTCCCTAATAACTAGTGAAGTCAAGAATCCTTTCATACATTTGTTGGCCATTTGTATATCTTCTTGGGAGAAGTGTCTGCTCAGGTCCTCTGCCTATTTTTAATTGGGTTGTTCATTTGGTGTTACTTACAGATTTTGGATATTAACTCCTTGTTGGAGCTGTTGTTTGCAAATATCTTCTCCCATTAGGTTAGTTGCCTGTTTGTTTGTTGTCAGTTTCTTTTGCTGTGCAGAAGCTTTTTAGTTTGATAAACATATAGGTCAACTCAGTAGTCCTATTCATTTATTTTTGTCTTTTCTTCCCTTGCCTTTGGGGTCAACTTCATAAAATGTTCTCTAAGATCAAGGTCCATAAGTTTAGTACTTATATTTTCTTCTATGTATTTTAATATTTCAGGGCTTATATTTAGATCTTTATCTATTTTGAATGAATTTTGTACATGGGGACAAACTGTAGTTTCATTATTTTGCATGTGGCTTTCCAATTTTTCCAGCACCATTTATTGAAGAAGCTTTCTTTTCTCCATTGTGTGTTTTTTGCTCCTTTGTCAAAAATTATTTACCCATATACACGTGGGTTTATTTCTGGACTCTCAGTTCTTTCCATTGGTTTGTATGTCTGTTTTTCTACCAATATCATGCTGTTTTGATTAACTATACTAAAAAGCATTGATAATCAAAACAACAAATACTTTTTACATTTAACAGCTACTATCATTCTGCAGAAACCCATTTCAATTAAATGCTGGACCATCCTGATTATAGAAAATATACAAAACTGTATTTGTCAACCAGAAAGACAGTGAAGTGAAAAGGGCTGGGTATGGTTCTGAGAAAAGATCTTTATGATGACAAATGAGGACTTGTTAATTATTTTGACATTATAGAATCAAGTTTCCAGCACCCAAAGTCATTCACTGTACTGGTGTCTATGAGGTAAAATGCTTGGAAATACAATCTATTCCAACCCACAGCCAATTCTCTCAGACTAGAATAATCTGAATGGGTGGCCTGGAGGTGGAGACGATCCTTTATTAGCGTGCAACCTGACAATGAACTCAGTGCCGTGGCACCAAACGGGTACTCAACAAGGCTCGTTAAGTAACTGCACATGAATAAAGAAGATATGGGTTACATTTGTATAATATCCTCTTATTGATTGCATTTGTATTAAAAATGTGTTAAGTGTATAAAAATAATGATGCTCAAATTACAAAGTATAACAGTACCAGTGATGTCACCTCCAATTTCATTTAACCCCACTTTTTGATCCTCTACAGTTTGGCATATGCACTTTTAAACCTAAAAAGTATGCATGCATATTCTCAAATTTATCTTTTCTCAGTATGATAGGGGAAAATAGTAGTTCATTAATGTTAATTTGATCATCTGGTATATTTCATTTATTGATATAGTTGTATTTCTGAAAAGTGAAATATTTTAATCAATCGTATTTTATTATTTTGTGTCATAATATTAAGATGATTTGTGTCTTTGTGACTGCTCTTGTCATTGAGAGACTCGGGTGCTACCACTTTAATGTTATCACCATTAGAAAGAAAAAGAAAATGAAGTTAATTTTGATGTGCTTGATTGAATCTGAGGATAATGATGGTCTGTGGGAAAGACATTGATGCAAGGGGACCTCAAAGAAGGGTTTACTCAATCTTGGAATTCTCTTCATTCATCATGTGCCTGTTTTCCTGTACGCTAAATACACCTGGCAGCTTCTGGAATGGCCCATGCCCGGACTCCTGGTGTTCACACCCTGCGTAATCCCTCCCTGAGTGGGCGGGACCCCAGAACCAGCTTCTGACCAACAGGACATGGCAAAGGGGCCAGGGTGTAGCTGCTGAGAGCGGAGGAGAGACTCAAGTGCGGCTCTCACTCTCTCCAAGGCTCCTTCGCTTGCTCACATTGATGAACCCACACCCGCCGTCCTAAGGAGAGACCCACATGGCAAGGGACTGAGAGGTGCTTCTAGCCAGGAAGGACTGCGTCCTGCCCATGGCCAAGCAGCGGGGTTAGGACAGACCCTCTGCCCATCGGGCCTTGAGATAACTTGACTGCCCTTTATGAGAAGCCCTGAGTGAGCTGGGCCCCATCAAGTCCTGACCCATGGAAGCTGGAGATAATAAATGGTGTTGTCTCAGTCTACTACATCTTGGAATAACTTGTTATGAAGCCACAGATAACTAATACCAGCTAGTTGTTAACTGATGACAATGTGTAGACATAACTTCAGTTCACGTGCATGTTTTCCAAACAATAGAGGTGTTCTTTTTTTAATCTAAAAAAGAAAATTTTATTAGGTATGACAATATTTTAAATATGTGAAAAATAGTATAAGCCCAGAATATCTCCTTGTGTATCGCTGCTGTAGTGGTGGAGTGTATAATTCTTTTTTTTTAAATAAAAATAAATTTTAATGTTTTACTGATCATTTATTTACATGTATATACATATTATAATCACAATGAGGAAAGAAAATTCACTTTGGTTTTTGTTTTAAGGGAGTAAATCTATGTTCCATTTTAATAATTTTATGAAATGAAAGTATGATTTGATAGTAAGGGAAAATAAGTATGCAACATCTATACACTAAACCAACCCAAGAAATGTTCGTGCTACCTCCAAAGTTAAAGACACATGGAGAATCTTAATTATACCGCAGTCTAGAGAGTTATGTAAAAAAGTAAAGGCATTTGGAGATTTCTCAAGTTCCAGATGACCAGGCAGAAAATGTAAGTCATCAGCTAAAGAATAATAATGAAAGCAAACATGTTTTTATGAACTAGGTACTTTGAACACTTTACATATATTAAGTCACGGTATCAAATTTCCTCTGCACTAATCAATAAATGAGCTTTATCTAGCCTATAAATCAGTGGACTGTGACTGTTCTTATTTTACAGTGTCAGGTAAATAACTGGGACAAAAATGTGAGCTCCTGGACGCGGCAACTGCTAAAACCAGTTTTCAGGACTACACTAGATGCTAATGGTAGATCTACAGAGGCTCATTTTAAGCTCCATATTAGGAAACAATAAACCTTA